TGTGGAAAACATAATTGGAGTATATGCGGAAGAAATATTCAAGTACCATGTGTCAGTTTAAAATCATGTACCACTTTTAAAGAAACTACAAACATCTCTTCAAAAATTGCTAATGGCTATCATATCCGATATATCTGTGCAAAGTGTTTTGAAAACAATAGCAGACATATTCATAAGCGTAAAGAAAAAAGTCTCAAACATGTGTTAAAAATGACTTGCATAAAGATGATATTAACCAAGTTTTAAAATTATTCTCACGGTGGTTATCAAATCTTTCATATTCTGAAAATAAAAATCAAAAAAAAGAAGTAGTGTTGCATATAATAAAATTATTAGAAAATCAAAACACAAATGAGTTATCCTCTACAAATACAACAAATTGTTTATCTAGTTTGCTACTCATAAAAACTGCTATGAAGATTAATGCATTTGATTATTATTTATCTACAGATAAAAAATATATAAAAGCAGATGAAACAGACAGCACAGAGAAGCATTAGAAAATTTTATATGTAACTCACATAAAGATATTGAGCAACATTATAAAAGTTTAGAAAATCTGAATTCGTTAGATGAATATTATAACAGCTTTTTTTTAGCGCTTACTAACTTTTTTGATAGATTAGTTGAGTCTATTGAAAAACATAAAGAAGCAGTTAGAGAAAAAAAACAAAAACAGCATGGGCAAAAAGAATCAAAATTTCATAAAAAACTAATAAAAAAAATAACATTATTTTTTGCATCAATTATTTTAACAATCACCTTTCATTCATAGAAAATATGGCTCACTTTTACTATGACTTCCTTATGCAAGCGACCAAAATTGATTTCTTCTTTGCAAGCAATACTTCATTCGGTATATATAACATCCTACACATGGAAACACAAAACAGTATTAGAAAAAGAGCATGTTAGTAAATATAATCTATTAAAAAATTAATAAAAGGACTAAATATTTGGAATGTTGCAGTAATTGATAATATTGATTTCAAGGATATTGTTTTTCAATATGGCAATATTTATGATGTCACAAGACGATCTGCATATGCCACTCTAAGACTGGTATTTCAGTTTGAACTTCTGTTTGAATTGTCGAGTCTTGTTCAAGAACGTCAAGATCTGGAATCTCAAAAAAATTTGTTCGGTAAATCAGAATTTACAACTAAATGAGAAATAAAATTTGATCAAATAATAAGACAACTATTAAATAAAAATGAAAGAAACTTCAGAATTAAAGAGATTGATGCAGAAATATTTGCTAATATCGAGTCAGAATATTAAGTAAACCCACCAAATCTTGTTATACTAGAATCTGAGCCAGCACCTAATAGTAATAAAGCTGTATTCGAGTTAATTGACATGTTTTTAAAAGATCTTGGTCAAGATATCATTGATATAGCATATGATACCACTATTTTTGAAAGAACTAAATCATATAAAAATGAAAATTTAACTTGCTGATTTATTCTTGGGCAGTGGCACACATCGAAAGCTATGTGTAGTACTTTAATTGCTGCATTTAGTGGATATGATTTATATAGTATGGCAGCAAAACTTGGTGTTAAATTTCTTGATAAGCTAAAGCAAAATGTAGATTATTGTTCAATCTGCAATATATTAGAATTAATACATGCTGCTGTAGATATAGCGTTTCATCTTCATCTAAAAAAAAATAATATGATACAAGAAGAGATAAATAATACAGTATTAGAAAATGTTATAATAAATGGAAGCAATAATACTATAAAAGTTTGGTACTTATATTACCGTTTAGCTAGGTACTAAAAAGCTTATCATGCAGGAATTCGTTCAGAAAATATAGATATGCAATTAAAAAGTTTGGCAGCATTTGCACCTCTATTTCCTTCTACTGGGAAAAGCAATTATGCAATGTCAGTAACATTCTTTTTAGAATCGATATCACACTACCCACAACAATATGAATTGCTTAAACATGTTGCTTCATTAAATCTTACCAGGGAGAATCACTATCTAGCTTTTGATGAAGCCCTGGAACAATATGTCGTGAAGTTCGTCAAACAAAATTTGACTTCTGGCTTATCAGATCCAATACTTTTAAAACAACAAATTGCAGCAATTCAGGATGAACATAAAAAGATGCTAATATTATATAGTAAATTTAAAAAATTGGGCAGTTAATCAGTATATAGTTTTATAGAAACTTGTCAATGAACTTACTTGTGCATTCGATTTTACAGACCCAAGACAACATAATCTCTTCAAACACGCACAAGAAATAAACCATGATAGTTATACATAAATATTCACTTTCAATAAAATTGGGCTTAATCAATTAAATAAACTTCTACAAGAAGAAGTATATAAAACTAATAAAGCAACTAAAAAAAGACGAGCTAAAAATCTCATTAGTACTTCAGCCAAAGAATATGAATTGGCGGTAAAAAATGACACATAAGATATAATTATATATATCTTTAAGTATCTTTTAACTATTAAAAAAAACTTTAGCGGCTTATCTTTTTGAAAAGAATCCAGTAATGAAACTAAAATTCATACTTTTTTTTGAAATTTTTTTGTTTATTTTTTAAAAAAATAAAGTACATGAATTAAACTAATAACTAATAATTGTATACCCATAAAACTTTAAGATTAACTTTTGCTAATATGCAAATGCTATACATTTAAAGATTATGCATAGTCTACTAAAAATTTAAAAATTTCAACATGTTGAATAGTATAATTCGAATGTCACTCGACTGCATTCAAACTACTATTCAACATTACATGTAAAATCAATCATCATGACATCTTCCTTGACTGCTAAAAAAGAAGATTAGATCAGTAACAAAGGAAGAAAATAAATAATAAATAAAAAATAAATAGTCTAATACTTGCCTCTAGCAATATACCAGGTGTTTGATAAGTTCTTGAACAGGACTTTTTTGTTAATCACTTAAAGATTATAGATAGAATCTTTTTACTAATAAAAACATAAAGTTTTGATAATTAAAGTGATCAATAAAAAGGTCCTATCCAAGGATTTATCAAACACCTGGTATAGCCTATAGTTTGAAGTTAAACTACAGCAATAATAGATCAGAGGTCAAATTCAGTCAGAATAAAAAAGTCTTTAAGAAAAAATTA